CAACACGCGGTAGATGTGGATATTTTTTCCTAGTCGAATCCCGGTTTCCTTCCTACCTGTCGAAAGATCCAGAGGCGCCATAGCGTGAAACCTAGAGCTGCGTAAATTTCGGCAAACAAGCAATGCAACTATACTAATTTTATAAGAGATAATTCGCTTTCTTCATGCAAAGTGTTGTCGGGTGACTGCTGTCATGCACTCCCTTTCGAGCAATCGTTCAGTCGCGACTAGCCGAGTTCTGCAGACAGGGTTACACACGAAAACATCTCGTTCTGCCTCATTTGCTTCTCCTCAAGTAACTATAAAGGTTAAAAATAATTCATGGCAGCATGACATGGAATTCCAGGATCGAAAGTCTAGCGGAACCGGCAGATAAAAAATCGATATAACGTAAATAGGCTCAGCCGAAAACGGCTTTGCGACCCGGGTCGAAACCGTTTATGGCTGCTAAGATAAAACAGGTGGAGACGTCAATACAAGCAGCAGATGTTTATTGCGGACAACGTTTTGTTACGGTCATGTGGAAAACGCTTCGTTGTGTCCCGACCGACAATCGCCTTATACCACCAAAAAACCTTATGCCTCAAGTAACGCAACTTATGCCCCATTACAACAATGTACGGCGGCCCGCACATGCACCGCCGCCGCCGTACTATCTGGATGCCCAAATCAAATCTCAAGCCGCCGACAACGCCTTTACTCCCTACTAGCTCCGAGATCGCCCCACCCCCATCTATCCCCAGCTATTGTACGGCGGACCCGCACATGCACCGCCGCCGCCGTACTATCTGGATGCCCAAATAAATCCCAAGCCGCCGACAACGCCTTTGACTCCCTCCTCAGCTGCAGGATCGCCTCCTCCCCCATCTTATCCCCAGCTATTGTACGGCGGACCCGCACATGCACCGCCGCCGCCGTACTATCTGGATGCCCAAATAAATCCCAAGCCGCCGACAACGCCTTTGACTCCCTCCTCAGCTGCGGGATCGCCTCCTCCCCCATCTTATCCCCAGCTATTGTACGGCGGACCCGCACATGCACCGCCGCCGCCGTACTATCTGGATGCCCAAATAAATCCCAAGCCGCCGACAACGCCTTTGACTCCCTCCTCAGCTGCGGGATCGCCTCCTCCCCCATCTTATCCCCAGCTATTGTACGGCGGACCCGCACATGCACCGCCGCCGCCGTACTATCTGGATGCCCAAATAAATCCCAAGCCGCCGACAACGCCTTTGACTCCCTCCTCAGCTGCGGGATCGCCTCCTCCCCCATCTTATCCCCAGCTATTGTACGGCGGACCCGCACATGCACCGCCGCCGCCGTACTATCTGGATGCCCAAATAAATCCCAAGCCGCCGACAACGCCTTTGACTCCCTCCTCAGCTGCGGGATCGCCTCCTCCCCCATCTTATCCCCAGCTATTGTACGGCGGACCCGCACATGCACCGCCGCCGCCGTACTATCTGGATGCCCAAATAAATCCCAAGCCGCCGACAACGCCTTTGACTCCCTCCTCAGCTGCGGGATCGCCTCCTCCCCCATCTTATCCCCAGCTATTGTACGGCGGACCCGCACATGCACCGCCGCCGCCGTACTATCTGGATGCCCAAATAAATCCCAAGCCGCCGACAACGCCTTTGACTCCCTCCTCAGCTGCGGGATCGCCTCCTCCCCCATCTTATCCCCAGCTATTGTACGGCGGACCCGCACATGCACCGCCGCCGCCGTACTATCTGGATGCCCAAATAAATCCCAAGCCGCCGACAGCGCCTTTGACTCCCTCCTCAGCTGCGGGATCGCCTCCTCCCCCATCTTATCCCCAGCTATTGTACGGCGGACCCGCACATGCACCGCCGCCGCCGTACTATCTGGATGCCCAAATAAATCCCAAGCCGCCGACAACGCCTTTGACTCCCTCCTCAGCTGCGGGATCGCCTCCTCCCCCATCTTATCCCCAGCTATTGTACGGCGGGCCCGCACATGCACCGCCGCCGCCGTACTATCTGGATGCCCAAATAAATCCCAAGCCGCCGACAGCGCCTTTGACTCCCTCCTCAGCTGCGGGATCGCCTCCTCCCCCATCTTATCCCCAGCTATTGTACGGCGGGCCCGCACATGCACCGCCGCCGCCGTACTATCTGGATGCCCAAATAAATCCCAAGCCGCCGACAGCGCCTTTGACTCCCTCCTCAGCTGCGGGATCGCCTCCTCCCCCATCTTATCCCCAGCTATTGTACGGCGGGCCCGCACATGCACCGCCGCCGCCGTACTATCTGGATGCCCAAATAAATTCCAAGCAGCCGACAGCGCCTTTGACTCCCTCCTCAGCTGCGGGATCGCCTCCTCCCCCATCTTATCCCCAGCTATTGTACGGCGGGCCCGCACATGCACCGCCGCCGCCGTACTATCTGGATGCCCAAATAAATTCCAAGCCGCCGACAGCGCCTTTGACTCCCTCCTCAGCTGCGGGATCGCCTCCTCCCCCATCTTATCCCCAGCTATTGTACGGCGGGCCCGCACATGCACCGCCGCCGCCGTACTATCTGGATGCCCAAATAAATTCCAAGCAGCCGACAGCGCCTTTGACTCCCTCCTCAGCTGCGGGATCGCCTCCTCCCCCGTCTTATCCCCAGCTATTGTACGGCGGGCCCGCACATGCACCGCCGCCGCCGTACTATCTGGATGCCGAAATAAATTCCAAGCAGCCGACAACGCCTTTGACTCCCTCCTCAGCTGCGGGATCGCCTCCTCCCCCGTCTTATCCCCAGCTATTGTACGGCGGGCCCGCACATGCACCGCCGCCGCCGTACTATCTGGATGCCGAAATAAATCCCAAATAGCCGACATTTATCCCAAGCCCACACGCCTTTTGGCTTTAGCCGCTAGGACTAGGGACTCCTGTGCATGCATGCTTGGAAGTTGTGGACGGCCGACCTGGTTTCCTTGAAACTGGTTAGGTAGAAGTTAAGCGGTTAGTTGGTTAGCTGTGCGTAAATCGTAAGCTGTTAGTGATAGTATCTGTCCACTGAAAAGCCGTCTCGAGATGCATGTCGAGCGCTTAGCGCGCATTTACAGTTGATATGTGTCCCGTACTGTGTACGAGCTATCTACATTAGTGGACTCACCCTAGTTGGTTGGGGTGTAACAGAACTACCTAACTTCTTATGCGATGCTTTGAGATTGTCTGTTAATCACGAATGGATAATAGTTGTTTGACAGCGGACCATCATCATCTGCAGTTTCTTATAGGCTGCTTGCTTTCTTGGTCCAATTTGGACACCCTGCGACCACTTATACCCATCCCTGGAGATCAAGCTGTTTAATTTCATTAGTTGTTAGGATCTGGTAACAGCTGTAAGGACCTGTTAATTCATGTGTTCTGCCACAACAGAAAATGTTGAAAACTGATTAGGATTAGGAAAATGTCGAAGGTTAAAGGCAACTGATAGAGTTTTCGTTAGCATAGTGTGGCTGAGCATCAGGTTTAAAAACAAGGTTTCTAACTAACCCTAACACAGGTTTTCTGTGAATTCGGAGTGAAATGAGGAGTGGTGCGTGGGGCCTGCGGTGCCTACGGTGCCTGCTGGTGATGTGTCGCTGTGAGCGACGGTGCTTGTTATTTTTCGGTTTTGTGTGTAGCAGCACGTCTAGGGATGTACTAATGTCCTGAAGTGGTTGGCCTGTAGGCCTTGTTTATTCGGTTCGGGGTAGTGTGTTCGGCTTGGACTCGCGACGACTGCTGACAGCGATGTGAGCCTCAGTGAGCCCCCGAACACCATATTCTGTATGTATGAGAGTGCTAAAACATACAAAATCGCCACACCCAAACCTGCAGGGGAGCGAGTACATTAGTGTTAACTGGCAAGATTCCGCTTTCAATTCTTCACGAAAGCCCCAACAGGCGCCGGATCTGGGTTGTCAGCGCGCGCTTGGCCTTGGGGTGTGTCGCACCTCCCCTCTTAAGGGAAAACATACACATCAAAAGGTCCTGTACGACCGGTTCAAGAAGGGCCGTAATCCAACGGCGACGATTTTGACCAACGCAACAACAGTCAGTCGCGACGGAGGCCCCACAGTGTCTGGGAGGCCGCGAAAACCCAGACGGCATCTTGCCACCTTCAAATAAAAACGCGCATGAACTACCCAGGCAGGCAGCGGACGTCCCAGCGCAACAGGGACAGTGAGGAACCGTATCCAGGGCCTTCCTTCCGAGCTGCTTGTTAGCACGCGCCGCAAGTGTGTGGGCATGGATTCTGATTTTCCTTGATTAGGTTCCAAAATTGGAGTTGGAGAGCTCTTTGCACGACCCGGGGCCCCCAGATTACACCCTTTTGCATTTGGCCGGAGCTGCGTCCTTGGCATCCAGGCCACCCGTATGTGTCCGTATCGTACTGTACGACATGCGCACCACACACCATGAGGGAAAGCCGCATGTGTCCGTGCACCAACATAACCACCAGCTGGTCAATGTCAAGTCCATGCAGCCCCGCCCCGCCCCGCCCCAAGAGGGGAAGCGCCGGGAGGTGGTGGAACGTACACACGCCACACGGGGCGAAGCAGGGAGCGGCGCATGTGGGAGCGAACAGGGCAAAAAGGGGGGAGAGCTTCCGCCACATGGCCAACCTATCCCCCCCCTTGGCGTATCCCACCACCACTACCACTACCGCCACCATCACCACCACTACAATTTTTTAAACAAACGCCCCGGTTACTCCCCACTATCCCCTATTTCCCCCCCCCCCCCCGGGTCGCCCGTCCTCTTCCTCCCTCTTCCGCCTACTGTACCGCACACCGCCTTTCTGTCCACTGAACCATCGGTTCCGCCGCCATCAGCTTTCCCTGTCAAGCAGCCGACATGACGGGTGCTCCCCTCCTCCTTCCTCTCCCCCACCCCGCCCACACACACATACCCGCCAACGCCGGCCTCGCCACCAACCACATCAGCCTTTCCTCGTCCGTTTCGTCAACGGGCAATGAACTGCACCCGACTGCTGCCCGCAACCCCACGGACATCCGCGTCCTCCTCCTCTCCCTTAACAAGGTATTTTCCTTAACAAGATATCGCTAATCCTCCTGCTGCTAGAACCCGCCAGCCTACAGTTCCCCTCTCCCAGTCCTCCTGCTGCTCTGGCTTCCGCAAGCAACGTCCCGCCACAGCCAGCCGGGGTGCTCAGTCCAGTTTCAGTTGCAGCTCCTCCCGCTTGATGCCGTCCTTGGTGATGATCAGGATCTCCACTTTGTCACCCTGAGGTTGAGGAGTAGGGATGGGGGCGGGGAAGGTGGGGGGTAGCGGTAGTGGTAGGGAGGGGGTAGGGTTTTCTCCCACTTCCTCCTCCTCCCCTCCCGTCCCCCCCCGGGCCCCAATCTCCCCCCCACACACGCACGCACGTGTGAGCACGCACACATCCCAAAACACCTCACCGTGTAAATATCACGCTCCCCGGCCGACACGAACGCGTCCTTGACCAGGTCCAATGCCTGGCGGTTGGCGGTTGACAGTTAAGGGTAACAGAGTTGAAATGTTGGGAGCACCATACATGTTCTGAACGGTACATGTACGTCGGGGCGCTCTCGAGCGGTGTGGGAGCTCGGGCGCACATCATTCGCCGCCACATGGCCCCCTCCCTTGGTGCCTGGCTCTGCTTTCTTTCCGCATTTGTACACAAGGCTCTCTGTCCGCTACCCCCCCCCCCCACACACAAAACCCAACTCCCA